CCACAAAGTCCTGCACCTGCCACCAACTCTGCACTTCCACATCCACAAAGTCCTGCACCTGCCACGACATCTGCACTTCAAGGTCCACAAAGTCCTGCACCTGCCACCAACTCTGCACTTCCACATCCACAGAGTCCTGCACCTGCCACGAAATCTGCACTTCAAGGTCCACAAAAAGTCCTGCGCCTGCCACGAAATCTGCACTCCAAGGCCCACAAAGTCCTGCACCTGCCACCAACTCTGCACTTCAACGTCCACAAAGTCCTGCACCTGCCACGAAATCTGTACTTCAAGGTCCACAAAGGTCCTGCGCCTGCCACGAAATCTGCACTTCAACATCCACAAAGTCCTGCACCTGCCACGAAATGTGCATTGCAAGCTCCACAAAGTACTGCACCTGCCACGAAACACGAAAAACAAAAAAATCATGCAAAAAAACAAAAATCATAAATTAAATCCGAGCTCCAAATATAGTCTGTGGACCTCTAGGGTTGTGCTTGGGACGATATTGAACTCTTGGGTTCTCTCATGTTGGTCCGCTGATGCTAAGCTTCATGATGGGGATGTCCTGTGCACGCACTAAATAGAAGAATGAGGTGGCATCCTCCTCACATAACTCCTCAACAGTTTAGTCAGCATTACCAGCGCCCTCCAACAGGTCTCCTCAAGGAGAAGGTTACGTTACACGCATAGTGATAGAAGCAGAGCTTTGATTAGTGTCGAGTGGTGCATCGGAGTTTTGAGGGTCGCCCTTTTTGTTAAAGGTCGCTTGCAAACATGCTTGAGCGGTGAGGTCATTACTGGAAAGACGAGGAGAGGGGAAAATAGCATAATGACAAAAAAGTCAACGCATATTGAAACCAACCAACCAAGAAGAGACAACAGATAAATAACGCAGGGAAAATACGACGTCAAGGTTGCTGGGCATCAATATCTGCAAAAGGATACTTCCAGAAGATGAGCCGGTCAACCCTTGATCATTTATTGCGTGATCTTTTGATTTTCAACGAAAATGAGGGAACTACATCCGCCCAATCCTCACTTAGAAATCATCATGGGTTCTGAAGCTTGTGAACCTGAGGGGCCCTAAGCCTCAAAGGTTTTCCGGGTCCAAACATGCTTTTTTGGTCCAACAGGAGTGTTGCTCCCGGTGCGGCACAGCTGCCGACTTGCTGAAACAGCCTGGTGCTGCACAGGCAATACGAGGCTACTGTTCACTTTTTGGGCTGCGCAGCAGTCTGTGCTTACCGGGCTGCACTTGCATGCAATTCTGTTGCCTTGTTGATCGCCTGCGGACCAGCGCATCTGCCATTGGCTCGAGCTTTGTGTTTTGTCCTTTTTGTGTTGCAACCTTTGAAGAATCTCCATCTTGGAGACAGCTGCACCAGTCCTGCAATTTTGCTGTCAAAGCACAGTTCTTTGTGACTTTTGGGTGCGCTGGTCAGCGCAATGTTGCTTCCAGCAGGCGTGCGAGTTCCTTTCCTGCGAGGTCGAGGTGATTGGACGTCTTGGCTTGCAGATTGAAAAGGCTGCTATGGCCGGGTGTACACACTATATCATTGTAACATCCTGCACAGTTGGAATTTTATTAGATCTTTTGTCAGCTCATAAGTTCTGGTCCGTGGAGCACAGCCAAGGCCATGGGCAGACAATGGTGCTCAAGGTGCCGTGGCAAGACGGCCCGATGGCAAGTCAGAATCAGTGGATTTAGTGCATGAATGCCGATCAGCCCCCCCTTGTTGATTAGCCCAGTTAGCTAATCTAAAGCTTTTTCCAGCTGGAGCCCTTTTCTATGCCCAATGTTTGAAGAGATGGTTGACGTAGAGGTAGGATGTTGATGGACAGTCATGGACCCGCCACAGGCAATTTGCAGGAAGAGCTTTTTAGCAGGTCTAGCCAAATATCATGCCCGTATGCCTGGCATGTATGTGTCTTGGCACCCTGCTGGGTCCGACACACACACACACACAGCCCTGACCAACCAAAGTTCTTTGTCTTTGCTTTGCAGAACGAATATATACATGATAACTTGGAGCTTCTTGCCATGGCACCATACATAATCTGCAAGCACGGAGTTGCAAGACATCATACAACTTGTCGGGCTGGAAAAGAACCAGCGAAGCCTTGACTCCAACACGCAGTCGGTCCGATAATGGTCCAAGGATGACCCGAGACCATTTCCCGGCCCCACGTGGAAGGTCTTACTTTTTCCATTTTTTGTGGCAGGTTTGCGTCTCAAAACCCACGATTGTTTTTATCAACTATCTTTCCACCAGCGCATCCTTGAGCATTCTATGCAAGCAGATGCAAGCAGAGCCCGCGCGCGGCGGGCTGGGGTGAAGGACAAGTTTTCCGCTTGCTGCGTTTTTTGCTTCGTCCCAGGCTTTTGACTTGACAAATCGAGGAGCGAGGCTTTTGCAGCGCGCTGACAGCTGCCATGAGGGAGATCTCAGGGCACTTGCAAGAGGTGGCAGCAATGCCTCCACAATGCGCGCCCCTCCCACCACCGATGCAAGCCCCTCCACCACCAAGAGGGTAACCTCGCTTTCTTTTCAAGCAGGAATGCTTGAGGCGTTTCAGAACATGAAAGGGACTGAGGGCTTCTTCACTAAGTGCAGAGGAGCTACAGCCAGTGGCTGGCCACATTGTCTCTTTGCCAGCAACCAGGCCCTATACAGTGCAGATCAATGAGCACACAAACAGCCGGTGTAGATACAGACCACCAGGCTCTGGCAATCCAGCTCCAGTGTGCAACCTCCCAAAATCCAGCTCAAGCAAGGCCAGAGAAGAAGACTGAACTTCAGATGGTGCCAGCTGAAGGAGAAAGCGGAAGCAGAGGATCCTCCCATCATCCAGGGAAGAACTTGTGCTTTGGAGACGGGTGGCTCACTCACTCACTCACTCACTCACTCAC